TACAGATTATGAGGTAAGAATTAAGGACTCTAGAAGCAGGGCCAGTACTTGCAAGGATCATTCAATGACACAAACATCCACCAGGAACTTGGAAATGCAGAGCCCAAGCTTGTACTGAACGGGAGAAATTATGGTTATCCACAACAATCAATGGATTTTATGAAATCCAGCAGGATTTCTGTGCTGTTGTGAAGGTGTTTCCACAGAAGAGAGAAGAGTCAGCATCACTGACTGCCGCTTATCTAAAGGTGGTTGATCCTTTGATCTTGCATCCCTCTTTTCCCCAAGATCACCTGTATCCACAGCTGTGGAACTTCACTCTGAGCCACACTCTGACACAGCTGGGGATTTTCTCTGAAAGCTGTTGTTGAGGATTAGCCAGGCATGTGCAGAGGCCACACTCACCCACTGCTGTTGCTCCTTGTAACATTCATCATCATTATAATACTTTTCATTGCTGTTTCAGGGCATTACATCTGAAGTTGTTGACAGAGTGTACAAGGAGTACATGGGGGATGCAGAAAGCCCTGCTCAGGTCCGAGATGGCCTCCTGGATGCAATGGGAGATGTCTACTTTGTCATCTCATCTGTGGAAGTGGCCAGATACCACAGAGGTACCCAGCAGCTTCAGAACAGCTGTACAATTCTGTCGGGGGCTGGTGTGGACAGTGTGCAGCACTTTTCACCATCCAGAGCACTGACAGTGCTTTTATTTAACCAAAACAGTTTTTCATGAAAGTTTATCATCTCTGGAGCAGTATTTTCAGCTCTCAAACCAGCACTTTTCTGTATCCTCTAGATGCTGGCAACCCAGTCTACTTTTATGAATTCCAACATCGGCCGAGTTCCGCGGAAGGTTTGGTACCAGAGTTTGTAAAAGCAGATCATGGAGCTGAGATTGCCTTTGTCTTTGGAAAGCCATTCTTAGCTGGTAATGTACCCATATGTACTCCATCTTCCTTTTAGACCCTCATTATGTCTCATTTCAATTACTGCAGGGCTTTAGAATAGAATTTCTCTCTTATATGCTTCAAAAACATTATACTTATTATTAGCATACTTTATATATCATAAGCATCATTATGAGCATAAGCATCTTCTGTCTTCAGTAGCAGATACTTTTCATTACATCATTCATCTGCACGTCTCTCCTACAAAAACCTCCTAGAAAAACAGGGCAACCAGGAGAAGTGTTGCAATTGATACAGCTGATACTCATTAGTTACTTTCTAATGTGGCCCTTCCATCTCTCCCTTTGCAGGAGGGGCTACAGAAGAAGAAAATGAACTTAGCAGGACTGTTATGAGATACTGGACCAACTTTGCTAAAAATGGGTGAGAATCACAGTGCTAATTACAGCTCAAGTTCAGTCTGTGCTGCCCAGAAGGTACTTACCTGCCTGAAGCAGTACTTATATGCTGCTTCCTAGAAATTTGACAGAATTTAAGAGAAATATTGAAGCAATATCTCTTCTTAATGGTCTTAAAATAAAAAAAAAAAAACAGCAGAAATGAGGAAGAAAAAATCTAAGAGCAGTTATTCCGTCTGCAATGGAGTTTTAGATCTAAAATGAATGGCAACTTTTACACTTTTGCTGTTCCACTGATGAGCATTTTCATAAAATACTGTCCATTTATTCAGGTACCAGAATCACATCAGCTGGGCTCACCTGTTGGTTTTCTGAACTGCTCTGAACCTGAGCAGTCAGACAGCAATGGATTGGCAAATGGAGAGCTAACTTGTCCTTCTGTTGTTTCCAGAAATCCCAACGGAGAGGGCTTGGTCCATTGGCCTCAGTATGACCTGGAGGAAAAATACCTGGCAATAGACCTGGAGCAAAAGGCAGCAAAGAAACTGAAAGAACACAGAGTGCAGTTTTGGGCACAGCTCATGAAACAAAGTCAGACTGGAAGGAGAAAACACACAGATTTATAAGAACTGTGGAGGGCACCGTTTGCTTTTAAAGCCCAAAGGAAAGTCAAACAAAATGAGTTTGTCAGCATACAGAGTAATAATCACCTCCTAACTCACTGTTGTGTAATCTGCTGTCCTAATCCCAGTGAAGGGACAGAAACAAGGGGCATTCAGAATGTTTGTCAGGCTGAAAATCACTATTTAATGAAGCAAGCAGAAAAACAAAAACCCAATCTGTCCAGGTCCAGACAGACCATGGTACCTACTCAGGGCAAATCAAAACTGAATACTGAGGTGGGAATGGGCAAATGAACTGAAATCTGTAAGAAATTATATATATAGACTATACCATAAGTGTCAGAATATTTTATATGCTTATTCCCTTCTTCTTGCAGAAAGGCATGGCCAGTTGTCCTTCCTAGGGACTCCTTCTGCTTTCTTTAACTGGAAATAGCTTGTAGGCAGCAGAGCATCCATCAAACTACACCTGTGAGGTGGGCTTGACATCTCACAAAAGAGGACAGAAAATCTCTACCTGTTTTATTGCTTTGTGAATTGTTCTAAATAAATGTTGCTTTGATTTTTTGGAACTTCCTTTTCTTTCACTTAACTGATGGAGGCTCATTCCGAGAGGTCAAGGCACACGCGAGGAGCCAGAAACGTGCCCAGGTTCTTTCTTCCACACAAATGGTTTCAGGTATGAATCTTTTCAGGTGTCTGTGCAGGACCTGAGGCTTAAGGCTCTTCCACAGACTCTTCTGGGGTGTGACTGGGTGTCCTTCATTCCTTCCTGGCAATTGCCCAGTCCAGGGGCTGCAGGAGCACGCACTGCTGGCAGGACAGATGCCCACAGAGGCAGAGGGGGGAGCAAAGGCTGGTGGTGCTCCCTGCACGTTGTTGGCTCAGCAGCACCAGAGAGAAGATCTGCTGATGTGCAGAGTGTGCATCCCCAGGCTCCCCCAGCTGGGGAAGGGCTCAGGGCACACCGGGAGGCAAGTGGCTTTTTGCCAAGTTACATGGCAAGCAGGATACAGAGGAACAATGTGGGAATCCAGGAAGCCAGGAGAGCTCTCCTCATGGCCATTAACAAACAAACAGCCCTACTCCAACTACCCCTTGCACTGCTGCCCAGCTCCCACATCCCACAGCACCCAGGGGGCTCTCACAGGGACAGCCCAAGCTCCTGCTGCAGGTATTGACCCTTTGTAGGTGTCCTCTTCTTCCTGCTCACCCCTGGGTTCACTTGCTTTTGCACACCTCTGGATCTCAAGCAGTGCCATCTGCACTACCTGGCCACCCCCTTTTCTGCATTTTCCATCACTTGTGAAAAACTCCAGCTGTGGCAATTAGGAACAGCTAATTGCAGCAACCATGCTGCCACTTCTGTCACACATTTCTTACCCCTTCCCTTGTTCTGCTCTGACACAGCCTTTATGTCCATTAGTGGTGTGTTTGTTGAATCAATGTGTCAGTCCCTGTACATTCACAAAAATCATTATCCTGACAAGACAGAAGGAATCCTGTGTCTTTGGGAATGCAGAACCATCAGTATAACTCCTGGGTAGAAGGGAGGCACACATTGGGCACACATGAGAACAAAGTCGTTTCTGACTGTGTGAGGGGAAGTGTTCTGTCCATCTGTGGATTTTAAAGCCCAAATATAAAGACTGGTACACACTTTTAAAGAGAAAGGAATGACACCATGGCCACAGAGAATAGGCCACATTTAAACAGCAGATCCTTACCTTATGTCCCAAACCTCATTTTATTTCCTAGCTTCAGTATTCATGGTCACTTGGTTCAGATTCCCAGATGCAGCTATCGTTGAAGAAATTCTCAGCAGTATATTTACTGACACTATTCAGCAAGAACTGCTGCTGTTCTGTTTTTCACATTCTGTCAATAAAAGCCTTCATCTTTTCTTTTGAAGTTTATTAATTATCCATAATTACTAGAATTGCCTTTCCAAGGTGGTCAGTATATTTGTTCTGTGCCAGTCTTTCTTCTCAGATCATCTTCTTGCTAAGTGTGAAATATGCAAATTTTTATTAAGATACAATATTGTTTGCTGTTTGATAACTTGTACCTTACAAACCTGATCAACAAGGAGGGAGATTTAATCCATGAAACAGAGCGGCCAACAAGCTCTAAGTGATGTGCAGCTGTTAGAAACACGAATTCCTGGTCAGCAGCATTGCCTTGTTAAGGTTTGGGGCTGGACAGGTTCCAATGATCTCAGCCCCGTGGGAAGTTAACAGAGATCAGGAGACCGATTTCCACTGATACCCGAGAACACAGAATTCAGCAGCCACGAGGACAAGGAACAAACCAAGGCCACTCAGTAACTGCGTGGAATCAGCTCCGAGCAGGTGAAGGAGAATTTAGGCTAAGGCTGGTTCCAAGGGAAAAGCTGTGGTGGAAGGCAGGTTGTGGCAGTCTTGTGTTCCCCTTGGGATGCCTTTTGCAGCTGCAGTGTGCCTGGAGCTCTGGGCTTTGTGGTTTCAAAGCCCTAACCCTAGCTTTAACCCTAGGTGTAACCCTAACTCTAGGCAGTAAACAGTGCCTTAGGCTAAGACTGGTTCCAAGGAAAAAGCTGTGGGGGAAGCCGTTTTGTGGCAGTTTTACAGGGGCAGGTCAGGTGCACCAACTCTCGGAGCGGCCCACAGGAAAGCAGCGAGACAAAGGAGGAGAAAGAGAGAGCGTGGCAGTGATCAGCAGGAGAGGCGAGACACTCATTAACCAATAGAAGAGAGAATACTAATTAATAGGGGAACTACGTACCTTGTAACCAATGCATATTAATGTTTCTGTTTGCTAAAAGCTGTAAAGAGTGGAAAGTTTGGCTGGTCATGCTGCTCGCTTCGTGGATTTGCCACCCAGTGCCTTTCAGCGCAGCAGTGTGGTGAATCGGTGCCGGGACTCCGGCAGGGAAGAGCCGGTCCGGGGCCGACCCCATGTTCCCCGAGCAGGGAAGGGCCGGGCCCGTGTCCCCCGGCCGAGGCTCTTCGGAGCTGCCGTGAGGGGAACGCCCGGGCCGCGGGCGCGCGCACGGCGGGTCGGGCGGGTGCGCGCACGGCGGCGGGGCCATGGCGGGCGGGCCGCCCGTGCTGCTGGGGCTGCGCGACGCCGCCATGGCGGGGCCGGTCCCGGCCGGGCCGCTCCCCGCGTGGGCCACCAACAAGCTAGGCGGCACCGCGGTAGGGCCGGGGTGGGGCTGGGCTGGGCTGGCGGGGCCCGGCCGGGGCGCGGGGGGCGCGGCCGCCCCGGCCGGGCCTGAGCGGAGGTGTCGGTGTTGCAGGACTGGGTGCCGGCCGTGCGGGCGGGCCCGCCGCGGTGCGCGCGGTGCGGGCGCGCGCTGCTGCTGCTGGTGCAGGTGTACTGCCCGCTGGAGCGCGGCCCCGCGCACCGCGCGCTCCACGTGTTCGCCTGCGCCGCGCCGCGCTGCTGGGGAGCCGCCCGCAGGTGAGCGCCGGCCGCTTATCGGCGCTGTCGTTATTATTGCTGTTATCGTGCTTGTTATTATTGCTGTTATTACTGTTGTTATTGTGGTTGTTGTTCCTGCCGCTGGTCAGTTGTCCCCCTCACCCTGTGTTTCTCTTTGCCCGGCACATGGAAGCTGGAAGGTGCTGCGCTCCCAGTACTCGCAGGCCCAGGATAAACAGAGCCGAGCTCTCAGCGTCACACAGGTACGGCTCAGCTCTGCCTGCCCGGGGGGACGCTCTGCACACCCTGCATCGCCTTGTTTAAATAACCGGGACCTTCCTCCAGAAGCTGCTCTCTGTGATGGTTTCCAGCCACGTCCTGGCTTGTGTGGAGAAGTCGTGGGCACAGAGTTTTTGTCACTGCACTACGCTGTTTACTATAAGACAGTTAAAGAGTGTTTAAGCTACTGTTTGTGATCTATGCCAGGCTGGTTTTAAAGGGGACATTGCAGTCCAGCTGTATGGCCAAAAGTGATACTTTATAATCTAGTAAGTTCAGCTGTTTAAACTTTATTTTCCAACTTCAAGTGGATGGGCTATAATGTTTAGGTTTGGATTTTTAACCTGTTTTCTTTGTTTGCTCTTTTAAATTGTCCTCTTTAAATTTAACATGAGCTTTTGAATTAATGTGACTCAATAATTATTAATATACTTGTGAGGAAAAACTGCATATGGCTAAAGCAGGTTGGAAGAGTAGGGTGGCACCACACTAGTGGAGGTGGGCAGAGAGGGTTTATTCAGGTGGTGCATTTGCAGTGTGGAATCTTGGCCTGTGGTAAATGGGCTTTTACTCTGGTAAAATGATGGAGGTGTTATTATTATTTCCTTCTGTGTTCTGCCCTTTGGGTGCAGAATTCCTCTTGGGTGCAGGAGCTTGCTTCATCTGGAGCTGCCCCTCAGCTGGCAGGGGCTGTGTCACAGCCAGGGCATGGCAGCAGGAGGCACCAGGGCCACTCAAAGGTTGATGAATTCTTGCTCAGATTCACCAGTGTGAGGTGGTTTTGCCATAACTGCTGGTGTGGTAGGTAAACGTGGTGAGTTGGGAAGTACCACGGTGAGGAGAGTAGGTGCAATAACACTGAGCATTAGGTTAAGGTCTCAGTTCTCCCATCTCTGAGAAGCTGAATTTGAAATGCATCAGGGTGGCAGACCTTGGCAATGTTCTCTTCCCCTTTTTATTTGATTCTCAGAAACAAGAATCGACCTTTGCTGCAAAGGATTGGTGTGAGGATGCAGATGACTGGGGAGCCTGTGATGGAGCAGAGGCTCCTGCATGTGCCTCCCTGGAGCTGCTTGGCCTAAAGGAAGCTGTGAGCAGCGAGGTGGAGTGTGCATCCCAGCTCCAGCAGCTCCACCTGTCTGAGCCTGCCCATGGCCCAGGTGCCCAGGACACACATCCTGCAGCCAGTGAGGACATGGATGGCCCCGGTGCCCAGGACACACATCCTGCAGCCAGTGAGGACATGCTGATGGCAATGGCTGGTTCAGCTCCTGTGTTCCAGCCCTTCTACATTAATGTTGTGGAGGAGGAAGATTACATGGGTTTCCTTGATACGGATCATGCAGATAAGCTACTGAAGGAGTATCAGCAGAGAGAGTGTCTTGATTTGGAACAGATGATGTCAGAAAGGTGAGAACAGGTCTGCAGTTCATGGTGAAACTGAAGGAATTGTGTGCTTTCCTGTACGCTGGCTGAGAATCTCAATGGCACTCTCACTAAACCTGAATGGTGACAATTGGCTGGAAGCTCCTTTAGGAACCATTGGGGCGCTGTGCAGTGCACCCAGTGCTGCCAAAGCTGGAGTTACTCCAAGGTGCTTTTAGCTCAGCTGCTTCTGAGTGACTGAGCCGTGTTCATGGGCTCCAGGAGGTGCAGTGGATGGTTAATCTCTGATGCAAGATCTGTGCCAAATGGCAGGACTTTAGATCATGACATTCCACACTTTCCCCTTTACAGGCCTAAAGCTTTTCTTCCATTTCAGTGGCATTTTTAGGAGTTTACCTTTTTTAGGGATTTTGGCTAGAGAGCTGGCTGATGGAAAGACACCTGAAGGTTTAGTAAAGGTTGCCTGAAAAACAGTTGTTGAGCGTGGTTACTGAAAATATTTTCTTAGTGAAATATTTAACTAAGGGGTTACAGTGAGGACTTCTGGCCTCTTGTGCCTGGATTGGGGACAACATTGGATTTGTTTGTAGCTAAAGCTGCTGTCAACTGCAGAATCTGCATAGAAGATGCAGAAGACTTTTCAGCAGTGGGGGTCCTGTTGATTTTTGGTGACCTCTATAAAATTGTGGAACTTTAATTATGTTTGATTCAAAATAGAAAAAGACAACATCATAATTTAAGAACCACAAAAATGTTTGAGAAGTTACTAGGATTTTTGATGAAATACAGCAGATATCTGGTGGATTTGGTTCCCATGTGATAGTTGAAAACACTGTTAGTAAATTGTAGGTCACCAGAAACCAAAGAACTAGAAGCAAAATGTTCACTTGCAACCTCTTAACAGGAATTTTCTCTGAACAGGTATATCTTTTTCAGTGTATTTAGTATAATTTAACATGAGTTTATAGTAACCATTTCTTGTTTAAAACATGTCATATTGAAAATGTCACTGGACAGTTTGTTTTTTGTTTTCATACAGTTTTTCAGGTGAAGATGGTAATGAAAAATATGAGAAGAGTGAAGTCAAAAACTGGGATCACACATTCCATAAATTCATGAAAAGAATATCTGTATGTCCTGAACAGATTTTAAGGTATGTTGATAATCTGGTTGTAACAGAGAGATACAAATCATTGGCATGGATGGTTGGTACATCAAAATAAATTCTTTCTTTGGAAAGATGTGTGTGTTTTAATTCCATAATTTAAAAAAAGGTGCTGTGGATGCTGTTGCCATGTCTCTGGTCAGCCTTCAGTCCCTGGCTGGGCTTTCTTCATACAAAGTTAAAGTAGATGAAAAGCCCAGCAGGATCAGAGACCATGGCTCTGGCTGTGGGAGACTTTAGACCTCAGACCTGATGAGGAGAGACCCTGAGAGTTTTTGGAGCCTCACTGAAATCCAGGCACAGAGGTTTCCAAGAGGCAGTGTTGAGGTAGAAGTGCAACACAGTGCTCTGCTGTTCTGATACATTTCCAAGGCTATCTGCTCCTGTGAAATTTTGTTATCTATTTGGAATTTCTAATGTCTGTCCTGCAGGGAATTTCTTTTTAATAAAGCCCCAGAGCTGCAGCTCATTGTGGACTCCCCTCAGCACCCAGCACTCTTCAGGTCTTGTACATCTGATGTTTTTCCTAGAGCAGAAGCAGGTGTAACCTCAAAGTAGCTGCTCTTTCTGAGAGAGGAGTTAATTCTGGATGGGATTTAGTGAAGAGTAAATCATAAATCATTCATAGTACCAGAAAATACAGGTTTTCATGGATCACACCAGCTGTTCCAGGGAGTCCAGTGCTGCCTGTCTGGTCAGGCTGTCTCAGTGTAGTGACAGGGCTTTTGTTCACCAGCTTTCCAGTACCAGGTGGAATGACTGGGCCCTTTTTGATGAGGAGTTAAAAGTCTGAGTGGCTGCTTAGACAGAAAGGAAACATGAGAAACTTTCATTCATTGTCAAGGGTTATACAGGAGATTTTCTAATGCAGAGTGCAAGTAGCATTTTCAGACAGCTTTTCACTGGGTCTGTCCCTTTGCAGTATTGTCCTCTTTGAATTTGCCATTCCTCTAAAAGGCCAGCTCTGCTGCTCCCCGGGCTGTCCCTGGTTACAATCTTTCCATAGGCTCCCTTTGCCCTCCCTGGGCACTGTCAATGCTCTTAGACTCCCATTGCCCCTGCCTGCAGAGCACAGAATCTCCTGCTTGGCATTCAGTGGAAACCATCCTTGGTCTTTGTTTCCTGCTAGCTGTGAAGCTCTGATAGCTCTTACAAATTAACCATCACTTCTGCACCATAGCTGCAGTGGTCTTGGGACCAATTCGGTGTTAAATCTTGTTGAATTTTATCTTTTATTGCCACTGTTTAGGATTCCATTTTTCTGGGAAGTGTAAGTTTGCTTAATGAAATTATTCTGGTACAGCATATTTTGGAGGTGTCCATTTAAAGCATTTGTCTCCTCTTAATCCAGCTCTTTCCTTAAGGTTTTCCAAGCATTAACCTACCAAGGATTTCCCTCTCCCTGTCTTTATTTTTTGGTTCATGACTCCTTTGAAGCTTCTGACTCACCACCATGTTTTTGCTTGAAGCAGGTTCAGAGATTTCAGCAACTCCAGAACACTGTTTCCAACACATAAGATTTCCTATCAAATTTAGATATTTAAAAAATGATAATTTTCTCCTCCCTGTTTTCTCTCAGATACTCCTGGGGTGGCCAGCCTTTATTCATCACATCTCCTCCAGCCAACCTGGAGCAGGGTATTCCAGCCTGCAGTACCTGTGGGAGCAGCAGAGTGTTTGAGTTCCAGCTGATGCCCACGCTGGTCAGCATGCTCCAGAGTGACTCAGGTGCTTGGCTTGGCTGAATCAATGTTCCAGCAGTCTCCTTTTTGGGAAAGTGCAGTGAACTGCCATTTGGGTTGTCTCCAGCTACCCACACGTGCTTAGCCACAGATCAGAGAATCTGCTGTCTCCATTGCAGATTTCAGTGAGCAAAGAGAGAACTCTTCTTCATGGAGACTCTGATTACAGCTTGAGTTGCTCACTAGTGAACTTTAATAACTGCAGTAGGGATAATTCCGTGGCCATGGGAGTATCTGTCTTTATTACCTCTTAAAGGAGGCCTTGGAAAATAATAAATGCTGTGAGATAAGATTGCAGACATGTAAAAATCCCTTTGAAAATTCTGATTTGGCTGCCTTTAAAATGTTTAACATTAGAAAATGCTGTTTACAGAGGAGACTGAATTAATTTGTGCAAAGACTGAAGTCTAGTGGTAAGCACTAGCCCCTGATTATGTCACTTTTCATACCCTTATGTACCTCTGTTGCTTTGTTTTTAGATCTGTCAGTGGAATTTGGAACTGTTATAGTTTACACATGTGAGAGAAGCTGTTGGCCGACAAATCATCAAACCCCTCTTGAAGAATTTATTTTTGTACAAGAAGACCCGGATCAGAGATTATTTAAATAAATTGTATTTCTCTGCATAGATCAAAAGTCTGTTGGGGTGTTTTGGTTTCTTTTTTTACAAGTATGTAATTGCATAACAAAATTTTCCTCAGATGTGGTGAAAAATTAAATTTGTTTGACAGCATTGTGATAATTTCCAAGAGTAGCTGATTGAAGGATATTAGCATGCCTCTAAAATGTGGTGGCAAAATTTGCACACTTCAGTTACACATGGAAATTGAAGTGTAGAGATTGTTTCACAGTTCTAGTTGCTCTTAGCACTTGGGAAAGAAGTAAAGGAGAAAACCTTTCTTATATACTATTAGTATCCATCAGCCACACAGAATCAGTTTTTAGAAACTCTTAGCAGTGGAGAACTTAATGCCAGCCTGATTTTAAAAAGCAGTTCTGTGTTGATCTGACCATGGATTGGAAATTCGGTGGGCAGTGGCTGAAGGGCCTTGCTGTCCCTGCAGCTGGCCAACATGAAGCTTTTCTGTGTTTCTCCAGTGAAGGAAAAGTTCCATTTTTGTGCTGAAATGAGCTGTGCCAGTGCCATGGGTTTGTGTGGGGAGAAGGTGCAGGGGTGAGTTAACCCTTGTGTTCTCACAGGTACAGAACTGGGGCAGGCTCAGCACCTGCCTCGGTGCAGGGGGATTGTGCAGCTTTGCTTGGAACCATCTGCATTCTCCTGTGCCTTCCCTGTTGGCTTAGGCTGACCTGCAGTATCTTTACTGACTGAAGGAAAAGTAATTTGAGTTTCCTTAGAGCATTCTATACAAGTTTAATTCTGCAACATAATTAATTATGTTATGTTTATGTTAAATTAATGCACTAAAATTGTGGGTTTAAAATAAGGGGAGGTGGGCAGGAGAGGAAATTACATGAGTGATGGAATGCTGGCAAAACTGTGTTTTTAAGGAAGAATTGTAGCTTACCATGTCAGCTTCTGGGGGCAAGTTACTTAACTTAGGTGAAGTCATAAAAATAAATATAATAATGTAAAAATACATAAGAAATAAATATAACTAAAATATCATAGAATATGCTGAGTTGGAGGGGACCCATCAGGATCTTCAAGTCTTGGCCCTGCTCAGGACACCCCATGAATCCTGCTGTGTGCTTGGGAGCATTTTCCAAATCCCCTTGAGCTCTCTTCATAATAATATAATATACAAAAAAATCTTAAACATATAAATATATTTCATATGTATGGTTCAATTTTAATATTGAACAATATTATATATAGTTCAATATTAAAATTGTTTATATATTATAGTTTAATAGATAAACTAATTTTAATTTAATTTAATAATGATATAATATTAAACTATAATATTATATTATTATATATTAAAAAATATCAAAACAAATAATGATCCGCTGTTGCTCCAGGAGTGCGGGGCTCTCGGCGGCAGCGGGGCTCGAACCCGCGGCTCTCCGGTCCGGCCCCGCCGCGGCTTTCCCGGGCAGCGCGGGGCCCTCCGGGGCGCCAGGGGGCGCTGCGCGCGCGCCGGCGGCGCTCAGTCGCGGCGGGCCCGTGAGGAGGCGCGCGGAGCCGCCGCCGTGTCCGTCATGGCGGCGGCGCTGTCGGGGCCGCTGTGCCCCGAGCTGGCGCAGGCCGTGTCTCAGGCGCGGGTTCTGGTGGTGGGGGCCGGCGGCATCGGCTGCGAGCTGCTCAAGAACCTGGTGCTCACCGGCTTCAGCAACATTTACGTGGTGCGGGTCGATGCCGGGGCGGGAGCCGGGGCGGGCGGGCTGGCGGGCGGGGGGAGGCCGAGCCCGGGGCCGCGAGTGCCGCGCGGGGGCCGCGGTGTCGGCGGGGCCGCTCCGCCGCCGCGGTGCGTGCGCGGTTTGAAAGCGCCCCGGCCCGCCAGAGCCGCCGCGGCAGCGCCGGGCCGGGCGCCACAAAGGGGCCGCGGCCTGCGCGCCATCGCCGCCCCCCTCAGCCCGGGCTCCCGCCGGGCGCGGGAGCTCCTCCTTCCCCCGCCGAGCTCAGGCCCCTTCCTGGCGAGGCCGAACGTCCCCTCGAGCCCGCGGGTGGAACCGCCCGGGAGACCGCGCTGTGCCGAGCTCGCTGCCCGGCGATACCGTGAAAGTGTTTAGTTGCGCCGAGTGCCGCCTTTGCCGGTGCTGGGGGTGAGGGTCCGGGGATGAATCGCAGCGAGGAACCCCCGGGAGAGGTGAACTGTGCTTGCAGATCCCGGGAGGTAAACCCGCCAGCGCTGGCGCTTCCCGCGGGCTCCTGCTTTCACTTTTGCTTCCAGATATTAATCTGTGAACACGTGCGGGAAGGGCAGATGTGAGAGGGTAGTAATGAAAAGAGATCGAGAGAAATACTGTTGGTGAAACTACGATTGCGTGGTGTCCAGACCTTTATTGTAGTAAAGAAGAGCGCATGGTTTTACATCCAGCTAGAGCAGAGGTCTGTTTCCTTCAATACCTTTTTGGTAACGTGCCCAGGAGTCACATCTGAGAGTTTTGTGACAGGTTGTGAGGAGTTTGGGTTTGCAGCCAGACTTGTTGAGCATAGCAGCTTGTATCTGAAACCTTATCAGCTTCTAGAAGAAAAGAGTCACTGGTTTGCCTTGTTCTTACAGCTTGGGCTTTCCTATTGGAATGCTTTTTAAACTTGTAGAATATGTTTAATTCCAAATTTTCCTTTTGGTTTGAGAGCCTGTCCAATTTGAACATTGCACCAGGGAAATAAATAATTGCAGAGGAGTTGTTCTGCACTGTTCCTCTCTTTTTTCCCTGTTGCTCTGCTGTGTCAGTTATGTACTCCTGCAGTTCATCACAGCAGAGCCTAAAGCTCCTGGTTTTCCAGTTTGTCATTAGGCATAAATCTCATCGGGGTGTGCTTTTTGTTTTCCTTGTTATGGTTTGGGGCTTGGCATTGCCTTTCCAGGCTGACTGGGGGGACCCCATTAAATTAAATACATGTTGGATCTGCCTTCATATGACAATATTGCTGGCAGTGTTTCATGCAACACATAAATAATGTTTTGATAACAGGGAACAGGTGGGTAGAAGACAAGGTGAGAGCAAAAGAAGACTTGTTACACAAAGAGGGAATTTGCTATTAGCAGAATAAAGTGCTTTTGTCAACGTTTGTGATATTGTTGAGAGTTTTCCTCAGTTATTAAATCTTAACAAAATTGAACATCTGAAAATACTTTTTATAAGCAAGTTGTGGTTTTTTTTAAAGAATATTAATACTAAAATAAAATCAGTAGTTTTGTATAGCAGACAACTAATTAATATGTGACTTAAGTACAGAGTTGAAAGGCATACTCTTGCCCTGTGAATGAAGAAGAAAATTATGTTTTTTCAGATCCAGGTCTGAATTAAGAGCATGAGTAAATGTTGTTAAGTGATGATGCCTTTTCTTCCAGGTTACCAAAGTGGGAGCAGTGTAGTTGTTTTATAAGTGAGCCGTGAAATTCTCATCATTCTTAGCTAGACTGGAGCTTCTGTTGAGGTCTAGTGGTCTCAAGTTTTCCCTCTGGAGAACTCCCTTTGCTCCCTTTAATTGTAATTCTTGTTCTCAGCAGGAGCTGATGTTGCTTGTCATCTTCTCCAGTTGAAATATTCAAAGCTTTCTGGGTAGTGAAGGTTTTAACAGAGTTTTGCACTTAATTGTTTTCCCTTGAAGTTCTTGGGCTTTCTGGCTGTGGACTAAGCAACCTGTGTCTTTTGAGGAAGGAACAGAGGTAGAAATGTGAATTATGCAAACACTGTTTTCATGAAAAGAGACAAGGCCATGGGTAGTTACTGTGTTACAGTGGTAGCAATGTTTACACTCTCAGCTCTAGAATATATTTTCAAAACGTTGTATCTTTTCATCTGCTCTGTATGCACGGGTGCTTTTATTAACTGTTCAAATAAACTCTGTAGCTATTGCAGTTTTTAGTATGTTAAAACTTAGTCCTTCAGTTGAAAATACTCCCTTGAGAAAAGAGGTAGATTAATGCTGGGGTTTGGATCCCTCGTGCAGAGGTGTTCACTGAGTGTGTACCGAGCTTTTTTCATAATTCAGGTTTGGTCAGTAAAGTCAGGAGCTTGTGAGAGCAGCCTGAGCAGGTCACATTTAACCTTCACACTGCACAGTCTGAGTGCTCTCTGGGTAGCTGAAGGTGTTACTGTGCTGAGTATGTCAGCATTACCTGTGGGAATTTGGGAGAAATATCTCTGATGTATCTCAGAAAAATCTCTGAAATATCTCAGAAAAACTCTCACTCTCCTCATTAAAATGTTAAGGACAGGAGAAGACTTCTAACAAGAGTTGTTGGTCAAAGGATCTTTAATTGTACAAAAAGTAGTGGTAACAAAGCTAGGAATAAATGTCAAAGTTCTAGTTAAATCTTAATTCTTGTGAGGGCTAAAGGTACTGAAATTTATGCTGTTCCTGTGTATATATTAATAAATGTAAGCATAGCTGTTAGGCAATTACAGTCATGGCATCCTTTGTGTGCTCTGTGCTGTATGTTTTTAAACTTTTTGATTGTGTGATTGGATTTTTTTTTCTAAGTGGATTTCATAATTTGTTAATGTGCACTTAGGCAGTCCTGGGGACAGCAGTAGAAGCTTTGCCCTGCAGTGTGTGTGAGATGGCTGAGCAGCCCTTGATTCCCTGATGGAGGTGCTCAGAGCCATGCTCTGGGAAGTGGAAGGACCAGTTGGTTTGGAGCAGCCTTTCCTGGGCCTGGGGCAGGCAGGGAGGGGCTGGCCGGACCTGTCTGATGGATTTCTGCATTTCCCACCCGAGCTTGTGCTGTGCTCCTCAGGAGCTGCTGCTGAAATCCTCATCCTGTGCCAGCAGGGCCGTCAGGGGTGACTCTGCTCACTGTGTGGGGCTGCAGTTTCAGCAGGGATCTCTGCAGAAACTGCAGAGGGATCTCAGGGATCTCTGCTCACTGTGTGGGGCTGCAGTTTCAGCAGGGATCTCTGCAGAAACTGCAGAGGGATCTCAGGGATCTCTGCTCACTGTGTGGGGCTGCAGTTTCAGCAGGGATCTCTGCAGAAACTTCGTTCTCATGTAGTCCTGCACT